TCTGGGAGTTGAAGTCCACCCGTCTTAAAGTCGCCAAGGGTGAGGAACCCTGCTCTGAGACCCTCCTGCTCCTCCTGCTCGGCAGGGTGGCAGCCCACGCAGAAGCCATGGGCTGCTGCCTGCGGAGGGGGCACCCAGCCCTGGGCACACCCTGGGCCCGGGGCAGAGCAGAGCCCCTTTGTCGTGACCGGACCCAGGTCTGGCTTGCTCCAGCCTCGCCTGGGGACACACGCGTATTTCCCGGGGCCTGGACGGGTCTTTGGCAGACCCCGGTGCCTCCCCAGGACCCTCCAGGACAATGGTGCTCCTGGCGCTATAGGGAGAATCGCTTATTGCACCCCTGTTGCGTTTTCTTAGCATTTAGATGGTTAAAGCCAATGGGAGGTTACGGTGTGGGTAGGATAAAACAATCACAATTCTTGCTTGGGGTCCTGCATTAATTGGATTCTTCCTAGAATTCCAGGGCCTACTTAAAATTGCTGATTTTATTTCTTTGAGTCCTAGTCGAAGTACGGTTCAGCCTAGTTTCCATTGCCCGCTCGTTACCAAATGGCTCTCTTACTAAGAGTTGCTTTGTATAGTTGGGTTATATTTTTGCTCATACAAGTTTGTTTGAATGAGTCAGTCAAATCATATGCTTCCAAGGTATTCTTGGGGTAGTCATCATACTCTGGAAATGTGGTACAACTCTCCGAGGATAAAACTCTTCACGTATTAAAGAAATTGAAATTGCACCTTTTCTTCAGACAATTAGTTACGGAATTTCATAACAGCGCTCGTAGCTATTATTGCTAGTAGCTGGGGTAGAGGAACCTTCCTATTGTGTTTATTAGCCTTCTGTAAAGACTTGCTACTTTTTTTTGTGAATATGCAGTATGCAGGCATAATGGTGATTCTGGTAAGTGTTATAAGAAGAATTATTTTTTTTTCTCTCTCTAATAAGACCTTGGGAAGTAATGGAACACAGCTGCTCATTTCTTCCTTCTTTTAGAAAAGCTTCTGCAAAAGCTGAACAGGAATTTAGGCACTGCTTGAAATGCAATCTGGAATTTGGCATATTCTAACCTAACCTAGAAGCTGCTCTGCCATTACTCCCTAAACTCTGGTCTACTTCCTGGTATCTCTTAACATTTTTTTAAAAAACCTGGTTGGTGCAAATGCCAGTTTGCTGATCAGGGCGCCATTTTCACGGGCGGCCTGTGCTGTGTATCTCCGGCACCTTGTTGTAAAAGAGAAGTGACCAGCCGCAATGGCATGCGGAGCCAGCTTAAAATAGCTTCTCCCCAAAGCCCTGCGCATTCTTTGGGCTCCTTGTATGTCTGTGGGGCAGCATCTGCCACTGCTCCGAGGTAGAATAAATACCCAGCTCCCTGATTTTGCGGGAAGGGGCCTGTGGGCTGTTGTTTCTCAGATACGGCTCTTACTTTTTCCTTCCTATATTCCCTCTGAGTAATAAAGATCTGACTTGCCTTGAAAAAGAAAATGGGAGAAGCGGTGCTTTGCTTTATGAACACTCGCTGGCATTGAAAAGGTGCCAGTTTTTTGAGATAAGTAGCCGTCTCAGTTGGGACGTTTGGGTCGTCCTGGAAAGGAGACTCGCCATTCTACACAGAATTACTTCTAGCCGAGCTGGGTGTATCAGGGTGGGAAGAACTTCTTAAAATGGAGAGACGGGACTTTCTTGGGAATGTACTGATGGTGCTGCTCTTGTAGAACAAGAATGGGGACAGTTGCTAGTCAAGGGTAAACACTTTACTGACTACACATGCGGTACAAGTGCAGAGTTGATATGGTGGGAAATCTGCTGTCATCTTCTGTGTAATGTGGGACTGCTTTATTTCTCTGTTTTTATCAGCTGCTGTTCTGAGCTGCCCAGAAATAAATAAATGCCTTTGTTCAGCCCGTTGGCATTTGGAAATTTCTTCCAGTCTATTTAAAACACTGCACTTTCAAGTTCTCTTGGCTTTGTTGTGGGCCTTGCCCTGCTGTACGTCCTGCCTCTCCCCTTTCTGATACCCCCTCTCTGTTCCATGTTAACGCAGGCCTGCAGTTTGCTCCTAAACCAGCTGAAAGAGATCACAGGCGTTCACAATCCGTTGTTCCTCCAGGCGGCACTGAAGGTTAGTCCCCTTTGCTAACACGGGTGTCCTTAGGCTGCTTGCCAATGGCCACCGCTGAGATGGCGTGGGTTGGGCTTACTTGGAATTGTGGCTGCAGCAGCACAGGTATTTATGGTGGGCTCTGAAGGGTGAATCCACCTGCCGCCGCCACCGCATTGCCATCCACTCCCTGTTTCCTCCTGCTTCTCTCTGTACTCTCAACCCTGCTTGTTTTGGCCCTTGAAATCCAAGACAGGCAGCCCTGCTTTCCCTGAGGGCTTGTTCCAAGCCAGGACAAACAGTGGCATTTGGACAGCTGTCCACATTCGCTCTCCAACATACAGATACACTGTCCTCCCATTCTTTCGCCTGAGATTCCCAGCCATCTGGTCTGAGGTATGCGTAGTCTATTCCAGCAGCGTGTGTGAAAACACGCGTCCTCTTTTAAATGCACTTGTTCCTTTCTAAAGCTATCCTGCTCTAGCCACCAGCCAGGATGACAAGTTTAACAGAAAATCCTCTGGAGGAGCAGAGCATCCTCGTCTGCCAACTTTCTTTCTCCGCAGGCTGCAGGTGGAAACCTAATGCAGGCGGTTGGCTTCCTCCCTGAAGGCCACGACCAAGAGTCGGGGGGAGACCCCGCTGCCGGCGAGGGAAGGGAAAGGCAGGCGGCCAGTAAGCGTTTGCTCTTCTTTGTGGACTTCCCAGCCAGGGAGTGTTAAATTTTCCAAGGAAGGCTAAGTGCAGACTGTGAAAACTTAAACAACAAATTCTGCCCCCCGAGGTGTCTTTATAAATAGAACCGGTGGGAGACCAGAAAGGGCCCATTAACTCTTGAGCTAACCCTAAGCTAGTGCCTGTGGGATAGACTGCACAACAATTCTCAGAAATCTCCGTCATCGTGGCTAGGCTGTGCGAGCAGTGTTGAGGAGTCATTTTTCTTCTTAACGATGATGAAGGCATGAAGAGCGAACCAAGCTGGTAAGATGTCAGCAGATCACAAAGGGCCAGTGATGCATTTGGATCTCTATGTGCCTCTGGATGAGAGCATCGCTGTTAAGTAGGAAGTGAATTTGTGCCTGTTTGCAAGCCAGTTATTTCACTGGGCGGGGGGAGGAGAGGAGTCTGCAAAATCCTATGATAGGGGAGCGGGGAGATGTAGCATTTTAATTGCACCCTAATATTGCCTTCTCTCTTCATTTCCAGCTCTGAATGAGGCCCCACAAGATCATGCCGGTTTTCAGGAACCCGTTTCTTCTGGCGCCCAAGATCTTTCAGCTGACAAGAAGGATTTTCTTGCAACAATGAATGCGTATGTCACATTCAGTTTTATTTATTCTGCATTGTTGCTGTTGGTCCAGGTTGTGTCTGAAAGCTTCACATGCTCCCTCCTCTCAAGTGCCTTGCCTGCTCTGCCGCTGTCCAGGTCCCTGCTGTGATTGTGTGCTTCTGATCCCCGCAGCAGAGGCACGTGGCCAGCATCTGTCCAAATCGGAGTTTTCTGTTTCCAGGAAATGTCCAGCTGACCAGCATAGTGTGCGTTCTTAGCAGAATAGGCTTTTCTTGAGGGCCAGAATCCATTGGAAGAGGGACAACGGTTACCCTTTTGGGGGCTGTGCGTTCTGTAGTACCTCATCAAGAGCCCAAGAGGCGTACAGTGGAGATGGGCTGATTTCTTCTTGCAAAAAGACTTCTTTGCAGTAGCTGCTGCCTTGTGTTTCTGGCAGACACTACGAGCCCAGTATGGCCGAAAACAAAAATCGTTCCAAAAGGAAGCGCTGTGAAGTCTGGGGAGAGAACGCTACTCGGCGTGACTGGAGGCGAGCCAGAGGCTGGCCAGCTGGGATGAAGAACATTGGAAACACCTGCTGGTTCAGTGCGGTCATACAGGTAGTTTGGGGGTGCTGATGCTTCTGTGGGTCCCTGCTGGCGTTGTGGCTCTAACTCAGTGTTGCTCAACCTCCTCCACTTTGAGATTCAGCTGGCTGGGGAATTCTGGGAGTTGAAGTCCACCCCTTTTAAAGGGGCTGGGGTTGAGCAGCACGGCTCTAATTAACCACTATTTTTCTTTAGTTGAGGTAAGCGTGGATTAATTCAGGCTTCCGTGCCTGGTTTTCACCAGCGGGCTGGGCTTTAACTTGCCTAATGGAGCCTCGTGGGAGGGTGGAGAAGGTTGTGCTTCCCTGTCGGGAGATAGCTGTGGCCATACCTAGTCTCCCCTCTGGGTGAAGCCCTCCTTGATGGGTGCACGTATTAGGTAGACTCGACAGACAAGCACCAGTAGGGCAGGGGGCTAATTTCAGGGTTTCCCTCAGTCTCTCTTCCAGCTGCCAGAATTCCGGCGCCTGGTTCTGAACTACTCCCTTCCAGAAGCGGTCCTCGACAACTGCCGCAGCCGAAGCGTAAGCAATTCCTGAGGGACCGGAGGGGAACTGCTCTTCCTGCTCCACGTGGCTACGACAAGCCTGGCTGAATGCTGATAACACGCAGGAGTGGGGGACAGTTCAAAGATGAAAGATGCTTTCTGATTTCTCCAGAAATTTCATGGAGGCTCACTTGTTACGATCTTACTAGTTTCTCCCACATTCAGAATCCAGAACAGAAAGCTATGCCAACCTTTCTGTATCAGTGACAAGACTTATCAGGAGGCTGTCCAATTTATAGTTTTCTTTAGCAAGTCTGGCACCTTTTCAGTCTGGTTGAATGTTGCCCCAAAGAAAGAACGGGCCTCTAAGGGCCCCCTGGGTCAGAATGCTGCTGCTGCTGCTTGTTTTGGCTGTTTTCTACAGTTTGCCTTTCGATTAAATGACTCCAGAGTAGCTCGAAACAGACACGTGGCAGCTCGATGCATGGTAATGAACTCTGCTCTAGAGAGGTGGTGCTGGAGTTGCTGGCCATCCCATAAAGGCATTCTCTGGAATTGTTGTTGTTAGTGAGTTTGGAGAAAATGAAGCACTCAGGTTGGGGTGCTGTTGAACAGCCCAGGTTGTAACTAGAAGGTGGCGCCCCTGGTGGTGCAAATTCCTTTACTCTCTCGCTGCAAAGCCGGTTGTTTATTGGGAGATCGTGTCTGGGGTGAATCACTACAATGGATTAAGCCATAATGTGCCATAGTTAGTTTTGGCTTAGTGCCATAGATGGTTTGGAAACGGAGTCCAGGGTTGTGTGAATTGTGTGAAACCAATCGCTCCAGCAAACATAATTTCTGAATGTGAGCTCTCTACACTTTGCTGATTAAAAAAACAAAACAAAAAACCTCAGGCTGTCATTTCTCTGGTTTTTTCATTGGACCTCTTGTTGTTTTGCAGGAAAAGAGGAACATTGCATTCATGCAGGAACTCCAGTATCTCTTTGCTTTAATGCTGGGAACACGCCGTAAATTTGTAGACCCGACTACTGCACTTGAACTTCTCAGAGGGGCGTTTAGATCTCCTGAGGAACAACAGGTGAAGCAACTATAGCAAGTTCTGTGCTGCAACTTGGCCAGGATCATGGTGGCAAGTATGGCCTAACTTGGACTATCTGTGGAGGTTCTTTTCCCCTATAAAACTGGGGCATGGGAGGACTGAAGATGGAGGAATTTAAATCATGAGGAAAGATGGCCCTCCATGGCCAGGGTTTGCCCCCTGAAACCACAATTGCCCTTGTTTCTCTTGGAGGTGCTTTCAAGCCAGAGCTGCTTGGCTAGAAGCGGCTGCTGTCTTTTTCTTTTCCTGTGTAAGGATTGAGTTGGCAGCTGAGTCTGTAAGCACTCCAGTAAGGTTGGCGCTGTCTGCTGTGGAGTGGAAACCTGCAGACGTCCTAGAAAGTGAGCCTGTTTGAGCAATCCAGATGTGGCCCTCCAGGATCTGGTTGCCTTCCACTGAGTCTTAATCCTTGTTTCTGATGCTTGCAGGGAAAGTTGAGTGAGTTTTCCTTCATTAAGGAGGTGAGGTGGTGCATAAAGACAAATCTTTGCTAAACGAGGGGCTTTTCCAGCATTTAACTCCTGCTGCTTCCCTCTCACACATACATTCCATTTATGCATTGCTCCTCTGGATAATTTAAGGGCAGTTCACAACTGTAAAATACCGTAAAATTTAAGAAGGTAAAATCATTCGTTATATAAAAACAGTGGAGAAAACTGTTCAGAGTAAATGTTTTCACAAACTGTAATGTTTGACACTTCAATCTTTCTCTCTTTTAGCAAGATGTGAGTGAGTTTACCCACAAACTCCTGGATTGGCTTGAAGATGCTTTCCAACTGACAGTGGATGTTAAGTGAGTCTAGCAAAACAACCACCAAAGTTCCTTTAAACTGCCCTGTAGCTAGAATTTGCAGTTAACTTGGGAGAGGATTAAAAAAAACAGAATGCCTGTTATTTTCCATTTTGTAGGGTGGTGTGATTCTTGCTCTCTGCTACAGCAAGGTGTTGGGGGGGGGGGTAGGTGTGTGATCCTGAAAGAAGTAAAAAAAGGGATATTTCTGACATCAAGTAACTCGACCTGTTCTAAGCACCTAACTGAGTTAAATTATCAGGGACCGTGAGTTCCAATACAATTGGCTTGTAACCAAATGAGCTCTTAAAATTCCTGACGTATCAGATTTCACACCTGGATTCAGTCTGTCCAAGCACAGTGCATTTTAGTGAATTGATACAACTTCCCATCACGTATGGCTGCCTGGCACCTGACACGAATGGTTGAGTTTTGCCTGAACTCTTGGCTGTAGCTGGCAGCTCCCTGCTGAAGAAATGCCCATTTGTAAGGGAGGAGGGTTCTAGTCCACCTCTCTTCCTAGCAGGCTGCTACTTTTAGAAAGGGGGGACCCCTTGAATAGAGGAGCATCGCGTTCTGAGCTCCCATCTGCAGCCTGGGCTTGGTGAGGTCTAGATGAACCTCTGGCTTCCTAGAGACCGAAGGTGGAGAAAGCATATCATTCAGCTTTTAAACAAGCCGCCCTGCCGATTAGCCTTGTAAACCTATTTTTAAAAAACGGTGAGCTTGCTTTCACGTTTCCTCATTTTCTCCTTCTGCAACAGGAATTCCCAGGACAAATCGGAGAACCCAATGGTTCAACTTTTTTATGGGACTTTTCTAACTGAAGGGGTTCATGAAGGTAAGCTGGAAGACCTTGCTAACTGATATGGAAGGCTTCCGAGTGCTATAACTGCCCCCTCCTGCTGTCACCGCCCCCTCCCGTTCTTTTCTGCTGCGTTTAAAAGAGGGTCTGTTTGGGATTTGTTTTGGTTTCCCTTAAACGGATTTGTGTCTCTCCTCCCATATTTAGGGATAACGTTTTCCAAAATAGAGACCTTTGGGCAGTATCCCCTGCAGGTGAATGGCTACAAGAATTTGCATGAATGCTTGGAAGGAGCTATGGTGGAGAAGGAGAGCGAGCCGGGCCCTTCTAAGCAGCCGGTGACCTATAAGCAGGAGGTGAGTTTTGCAGTGTTTGCACAGCTCACGGGGAGACAAAACAGACACGACAGTTACCAGCGTGAAAACAGAATAAGACGTATGTGCGCATGCTGGAGTTAAGTGAACCCTGTGGAATGACTAATAGCATGTGGTGAGACCTTTATATTTCATACGTTGTGTCCGGACTGCAAGCGTGATAAAAGTATTTTTCTTTCTGTTGAAGCCTACCCGTAGGAAAGAGCCAGTGCCTCCGTATTTTCGGAGGATAAAACTGCCGTTTTTAATTTAATGGTATGCTTTTCTTGTTTATAACTTTTATCTAAGGATATATTGCACTCCTTTTTTTCACTCATCAAAAACCTTCCAACACTGCTGATTTTAATTTAAATTCTAAAGCAATCATATATAAGCTGCTTGCATCTGATACACTTGAAATCTGTTCAGAACTATCCTAGCCTACGTCCCAAGCATTTTGTCTGGTGCCGTGAAGTGAAAGGTGTGTTTTTTCTGAGGCTGCCAGTGCTTCGAAAGGGGTCTAGCGGTTTTCAGCCAGCAGCAGAGGACTCATCAGGAAAGAGGTTAGAGAGGAGGAAATGCAGGATTTCCAGGTGCCTTTGAGGTGACCCTTCGGAGTAACATTAGTGCTTAATCTAGGCAGCAAGAGGCATTCAGGTTGGGTAGAGCAGCGTTCCTCAACCTTGGCAACTTTAAGATGTGTGGACTTCAACTAGCTATGCTGGCTGGGGAATTCTGGGAATTGAAATCCACTCATCTTAAAGTTGCCAAGGTTGAGGAACGCTGGTGTAGAGAAGGGAAGTATTCAGGATTTGAAGACCTACTAAACCTGCCTAGGAGATGTTAACCAAAGTGTTGTAGTTCAGTTTGTGGTCCAAAGACTGGATGTATGGAAAACATTTAAAGGGCCTAGGAAACACTTGCCATGGTCACTGTGGAAAGAATTGTAGTAATTCAGCTTCCGCATCTGTATCCTGAGCAATCTGAATTGCTCCAGATGCCCTGCCTTCGTCGCGGAATGAAACGTCCAGTTGGGAAACTTTTGAAAATAGGTGGCTGGTTTAGTTAAAGGCATTCATTTTGTTTCTTTGCCAGTGATATAAACAAAGAACTTAAATAAGGGATGTACAGCCCTTTTGTAAGGGTTCCTTCCGAATACATTTGAAAGAGTAAATGTTACGGCACCTTCTAATATATTGAAGTAGGACAGACTAGTGAGCCACAAATAGCTTCAAGGAGGAGGTGCAGTTTTTATCACACACGGGCCCCGTCTGGCAGGAGATGACAGAAGTCTATTAAAAGCTTGAGTCCTTGGCCGGGTTTTTCCAGCATGGCTTACGGAGTTGCAGCGAAACTCTTCTGAATCCTGTGTTCAGTTTGAAATGGTTTTGCAAAAATTAATGATTTGTGGCTGGACTTGGTTCTGCTGCACCTGCATGTGAGTAATGTTTCTTTCTGCTTGCATCTGCTTGTTAATGAAAAAGGTCTGTTTATAATTAGCACCCTTCAATCTTCAACTGAAGTTATATCTTTATTTCAGCGCTGGTTTACAAAGCTCCCCCCAGTGCTGACATTTGAACTTTCCCGGTTTGAGTTCAACCAGTCCCTCGGGCAGCCGGAGAAGATACACAACAAGCTAGAATTCCCACCAGTCATTTACATGGATAGGTAAAAAACGGGGGAAAAAAGGCTTTATGGCCTGAGACCTCAAAGCCTGCAAAAAGATATTGTGGGATGGGGATAATGGAGAGCATCCAGTCGTCAAAAGTATGTTTTCTTTAGGTTTATGTATGGTAATAAAGAGATTATTCAAGCTAAAAGGGAAGAGATCGGGAAACTGAAAGATCAGATGACAGTTCTGCAGCAGCAGTTGGAAAAGTAGGTCGTCTTTCTCAAACTCTGAACTCCACTTTCCCTTACAGAATATATGGCGTGTAGTCTAAGCAGCTGGCATCTGTTTGCCACTTGCTTATCACGGAAAAAAAAGACCCAGCGTGGCTTGTCTGTTTGCCCTTGGATAGGGGTATTGTGGCCAAGCTTGTTAGACGCCTCCGTGTGCGTGTGTGTCTCTTAGATTTCCCAGAGAGCTGCGCAAAGCTTGTTCTTCAGGCGTTCCAGCCCACCTGCCGTCCCTTTCTGGAGCTGGCCGGCTTACTCTCTACTGCTGTAATGCAGCATCACGAGGGTGGCTTCTGCCTCTTGTACTGTTCGAAGAATCTGTTTGAAGAGATCCGGGAGCAGGACAGGAGAATTAGACTCATGCTTCAAAAATATCAGGAGCAAAACGTGATTTAATATTTGCCCCATGTCCAAGGGGTAAAGAAAAAACAACATTCCATCGCTGATACTTAAGTTTTAAAAATCAGGTAGCTTTGATCCCATTGAAATGGACTGATGATTTTAGAGAGACTAATGATTGTTTGGTCATAATTAGGTACGTAAGATATGGTTCTGGGGCAGACCGCTTCCCCTTGCCGGATATGCTGCAGCACGTTCTTGAATTTGCAAGAACCAGGCCTTCCGCAGCTACGTCCTGTGCAGCAGCTGTGACGCCGGCAGAAGCTCAGGCAGAGGAAGAAGCCTCAGACGCGCACACCAAGCAGAGCAGGTAAAACTGGGCCAAGCCTTGGTTTGGCTTTCCACCGTCGCTGTATCCCAACTAAAACGATGAGATGATAAATTGGATTATTTTGCCTGCTGGAGACATGCCTGTTTAGGGGCAGGGCGGCAGGGGGTCTAGGAACTAGAAGAGTAACACATTCCGGTTGCGGTCAACTGCATTTTTAAAGCAGTCCTGCTGACTTCCGTCTTCCGTCTCTGTGTTTTGAGAAACGGTAGCAGCACAGGTGAAGAGCGCTGAGTCTCCCCAGCAGCTGATGAGTGAATCTTCCTCTCCGTCCAGGTGCCCAGCCGAGACGTCAGAAGATCCTGCTCCTCGGGCCGTCTCTACAGATGAAATGAACCTTGTCATCAGCTGCTTGCAGCAGTGGCGAGAAGAGGTTGAGCAAGACATAAAAGGTTTGTGCCCAGATGATGCATTTCGTTCAAGAGTTGTGTTAGTCGTGGGTCTGCCCTACTGATATTTCCATTTTTGCGTACGTGCTCATTTTCATCCCATTCTTGTTCCAACTGGAGAACCTGGCAAGGAATGATGCCGTGGCACATTCGTTCAGCAGGAGCAGGAGCCTGTAGCAAACCCAGTTCCGTGTACCTGTCCCAATATTAAGTCCAGAGGCTTCTCCTCTGTGTCCGCGGGATCTGGTCAGGAAGCCGTTATCTATCTGTCTCAGAGCATTTTGCACAGCCTTCGTGGCTGGGACCAGGTCTGAAGCTTCCTCGGCAAAGGATAACACACGGCCTGGCCAAAGAGGACATCTTCAGACTCTTGAATCATCCAGGTTACGTAACGTGGATCCAGCTGTCATTCAGGGCTGCCCTTTCCCTGAATATGGGAATTGCCCCAGTTTGTTGCCGTGGAGGAAAATGGGCACATTGTTTTGCTTTCCACAAAACATCCTGATGTGCAGTTGAGGACGCCTGTGCTAAATCGCACATCGTTTGTGTGGCCTAGTTACACAGCTAGTTGAGAAGATCAAGAGTAAACGCCCACAAACTTGGCTTCTCAATAGATTTGCAGATGCTTTGTGAACCTTCCTTTTTAAATTCAGTTTGCAGCAAAGAGGTACAAAAATAAGGAACAGTTTCCTAGTATTAGTTTTGCTGCCCAGATTAACACAACAAGCAGGGAGAGCCCAAGGCCGCTCATTTGGCGCTGTGGTTTATTCGATGGTAACAAAGATAACTCAGTCAGTTGTACGAGCAGGTCTCAGCGCATCACCCCATCAAAAGAGTCAGCTGCACAGTGAACGTTAGAGATAGTTTGGAATGTAGTGGATATTCTAAGAGTAGAATGTAAGTTGAATAACCAATGCAAAGACTTGATTTAGATTTGTAGACTGCTAACGTTTAAAAACGAGTCTTGTATAGATTAGGTTTTGGACCAAATATCTATTTTTCTACCGATTTGCTCTGACAGAATCACAGAACAAGTATCCCCTGCATTTTATTGTTCTAACTAAAGGGATACCGTATGTCCATGCTGTCTTTTAAATGACTGTCATTTCTTAGGCAGAAAGAAGACATTGATTTGCAGCCACAACGCACTGTTGAGTTCCGAGCATCTTTAGAACATCTTTAGAGATTGCTGCCAAACGTTAGGAAAAGGTAACGGTTGCCCAGTCTCTCATTGTTTTGCTTTGATTGGCAGACCTGAAGACCTCCATGGTGCTGCTTTCCGAGTCGATGGACCAGGTCTATGCCGATCCTGAACTCCGCCAGGTAGGTCTGCAGTTCTTACCAGTTGCATTGAGTGCTTTGGGCCTCGTGTTGGCACTGACCCACTGAAAGTAAAATCTTGCTGTTGTATAAGAGAAAGAGAGAGAGGGATTCTTTGTTGAATTGGTTAATATTTTCCATTTTTCTGATAAGGGAACTTGTTCCTCCGTATAAAATTAGCCTGGAGGTCTCAAATTAAATTTCTAGGATTTTTTTTTTTTAAATGAGGACTACCTGGGAATTCAGACTACATTCTCCTACAAACAATGATTTTACCTTGTTTTTGAAAGGGATTTGCTAATGTCAATCACATTAAAACCCAGGCGCTTACAACTGCCTGATATTCTGCCTGCTATTTTTTGCCACGCATTAAAATGCAAGGTAGAACTTCTGAGCATCATAACTGGCAAGGTTGGCTCACTGCTGTCTCTCCAGATAGACTGCAGAGGCTGTTTGGGCCTTTTAATGGCAGCGGTAGAACTTCCTTGTTCTCATTTGGAAAGCTCCTGCCTTTTCTCTCTGGCATCCAACAAGCAGGAGCTGGGTGTGTCCTGGACGGTACAGCGTTGGGCTCTTGGCTCCCATCACCAGGCTTAGACGTCAAGGTCTTGCTGTTGCATTTGTGAAGTTCTATCTGGTGAATGGCTTGCGTTTAGTGCCAGTTGGTTGAATGTTTCCTTGGTGGCTGGCTCCGAACCTGACTAGTCTGGTCGCAATGGCCTCTGAGGCCCTGTTGTTCCAAGAGGAAAGGAATTTGCATTAAGCCTCGATTATATGAATGGATCGTTCTTAGAGGCGCAGCAGCTGAGAATTTGTCTCACTGAATCTTCCTGCGGTCATGTTACTTCACCTGCTAAAAATAAACCTGAAAGCCTATGGAGTGTGCGTTGATGTGTGTATTTTCCAGGTCCCTTATCACTTGCATGCTGTGTTGGTCCATGAAGGCCAGGCCAATGCTGGCCATTACTGGGCCTACATCTACAACCCGCCTCAAAGGAACTGGCTCAAATATAATGACATTGCGGTGACAGAGTCTTCCTGGGAAGAGCTGGAAAGGGATTCGTTTGGTGGCTCGAAGAATGCCAGCGCCTACTGCCTCATTTATGTTAGTAAAAAGCTACCACACTTTGCAGCAGGTGAGGACTCTGAAATCAGTGCTTGGTGATGCCTCTCCCCTGTTGGTGGCTGGAGGCTTCTGGATAAGTTAAGATGGGCTGCTTAAGAAGAGCTTTCCTGTTCTCTGGTTGGGCGTGGACTATGGTCTCTTCTCCTTTGTGGTGGTAAGCGTCACTTGAAATGAATGGAGGTTGAGGAGAAACTGTCCCTCCATCGTGGTTCTATATATTTATAGATTCTATACATTTGGGGTGGAAGCAGCCTCGGTTAAGTTCTAACAGGAATAAATTTGGGAGTGGGTAAGCAGTGGGGCCAGTCGAAGAAGGCTAGGGCAAACCACTTCCAAACATGCTACCAAAAAAACTCTGAACTTGTCTAGGTGATTGCCAGGAGTCAAGACTGACTTGAAGGCCCAAATATACATACAAATAAAGCCAGTATAGATCGTTCATGAATTACTGGGTTGGGAAGGCAGGAAAGAGTGGGACTCTTCATATCTTCATCTACTGGGTCTTGTTCATGTACACAAAGCCACCACAAGTCCATCCTTGAACATAATCGTGCCCATTCTCAACAACTGGCATTAACAGGTGTGGGATCAAAACGCAGGACACAAATGCGGAATAATCAAGGCTTCACTGCAGTTTTTATTGAGCAGTACCTACTGGAGGGGGGACCCCACCAGAAGTTAGTGGGAGGCACTCCCCTACAGGCAAAATGGATGTTCTGAT